CAATCAATCACTCACTCTCTTTGCCAACGTCAGAGCTAACAGCAGGCTGTTTTAAATAACAGAAATTTAAGTAAAACCTGATCTAAAGGCTCAGGAGGAGCTTTGATCAGAACGTTCAGGACCATCATCAGGTCTCACTGTGAAGCTAGTGGACGTGACACCGGTCTGTGTCTCCGTACACCTTTCAGGAAAACGCTTCATCAACGGGTGATTAAGAACTGTTCTGTCACTGAAGCACTTATGACAGGAAGAAATAGCTGCAGCATAAGTATTAATTGTGCTGAACGCTAGATCGCTGTCCATCAGCTGCTACAGAAAGGACAGCATGCCACCTAGTGGCCATGAGATGGCCTCCACGCCTTTCTCTGTGCACCAGCGCTGAAAAACTGTCCACTTGAAGTGTACACCATTGTGGTGGAAGCAGCTCGTGCGCCCTGAACGTACGCACCACATCCTGTGGGAGGCCCATCTTTTCTAAACGGATCTGTTCAGCGGACAGACCCAAAGATGCTGACCTATTTCTGGGTAACTCCTGATCGCTCTTCCTGCCTGGAGGAGAGGCCCCCCCCACAGCAGTTTCCACGGCCGACCCGATATCAGTCGCTACAGATTTGAAAACCACGGAGCACATATGCGTTGGGGAGCTACGAGGCTGACTGACAGTTCTTCCTCCCAGACACGGGTCCGTGATATCGGCAGGACTGGAGGGAACGCATAAAGGAGCATTTTTGGCCACGGGCTGTGAGCGAAGGCGTCCACTCCTAACAGTGGGTCGTCTCATGGGCTCATTGAGAACCATTATTGACACTGAGCATTCTCCCATGTGGCGGACAGATCCACTGGTGCTTGGCCCAACCCGCTCCAAAATCCGAGAAATCAGCTCGGGATGGAGGCTCCAGTCTCTGTGGCAGGGACCGCCCCTCGACATGATATCCGCTCGCTTATTCAGGACGCTGGGAATGTACACTGCTTTGATGGAGAGCAGGTATTTGGGTGTGTTCAACACAACAGCTGTTTCGCAACGCGTAACAATTGGGCTGAGCGCACGTCTCCCTGACGGTTTATGTAAACTGCCGTCATTTGTCGTCTGTGTGGATCAGAAAATGCTGATCCCGCAGCAGGGGACAAATGCGGAGTCTTGTTTCAGACCGTGAAACATTCTAGCACATTATGTAAAGCGACATGTGGTCCAGCCACTGTGCTCCCACTGCTTGGGACAGACACATTCCTCCCAGCTTGACAGGAATACGTGTGTGAAAACTGAGACGTGTGACGTAGGCCTGCTGATGGGAACTCCCTCTGACAAAATGAGAGGGTTTCCCCAGTGATTCAGATCGATTCTCACGGAGGGGGCACAAAGATAATCCACCTCTTCTGGCGCACAGGATCTATGCGCAGGCGGGCAAACCATCTCTGAAGGCGTCTCATGTGAAGTAGGCCCAGCGGAACCACATGTGGGCCGCTGACATCGTCCCAGGAGTTGCATGACAGGCAGAACTGTCACTATGCTGCAGGGTTTGACATGGCGGAACTGAGCTGATAGAGCTTCTGCTTTCAGCTGTGATAAACGGGCTCTCATTGTAGTTGAGTTTAGCTCCACTTCCAGATAAACAATCATCTGGGACGGACAAATGGAAGCTTTTCCCAGTTTATAGAAACCCCAGGTTTAGCAGGTGGAACACTAGCGTTTTGGTCTGTGCGACAGCTTTCTAACTGGACCGAGCTAATAAGAGCAGATCATCCAAATAAAAAGAATTCTCATTCCTGCCATATGTAACGACTGCAGAGCCGTCTCCACGCATTTTAAGAATGTGCGTGGGGTGTTTCAGAATGATGGAAATGTGAAATATGCGCTCTTCAGATCTATGGAGGTGAAAACCAGTCGTTCTGGTGAAGTTCTCCAGCAGCTGTTTGTCAGCATGTGGAATTGTCTCCCCATGATCGAATTGCTGAACATGAACAGGTCGAGAATGGTCTCATCCCTCCGTTTTTTTCTCAGAACCAGGAAATAGTGGGAGGAAAACCCCCCGTATGTTCCTCTCCGTTGGGAGCTCTAGAAATCATGTTTTTCGTCAGAAATTCCTGAACTTCTGAATGGAGAGACGAGCTCTGTTCTGGAGAAGACAGAACCAACTCTATAATCCTTCTGAACGGAGGAGGTTGAGCTGCGAACTGCAGTGTGTAACCCATTCTGATCAGACGATCCGTCCATCTGTCCAGGGAACACACTCGCTGACACTCTGAGTAATGCTCGGAGAGCGGGCACGCATTTGTGTTGTGTCATGTTTCTCATGAACGTCAACCAGACTAAAAATCCTTACTGCCATCACTCGCTCTGGAGATTCTCCGGGGGGAACCCAAGGGGGGCTCCGACAGAAAAAAGGGCTGTATGTGTGCCTCTGTGCTGAGTCAAGGCTGCGGTCTCACATAGAGCTGAGGTGAGCCAGCGCGCACTGAGAGGAGGCGTGAGCGCTTTCTGAGTGAGACGCTGTTTCGATGGAGGCTGCAGCTGTCGTGGAGAAAACACGTTTACTCCCGCTGCGCTGAGAGTGGGCAGAAAACAGCAGAAATTAAAAATGGGCTCTGGCTGAAAACGAGGGATTTTACCGGACTCGGTCTGCTGAAAAAACATAATTTTAGCTGACATGGCAGACGAGTGTTTTGTGATATTTACTGAACTGCGGTGCCATTTAAAACGCTGTTTAGAGGTTACTGGCTCGTTCTGTGTGGGGAATGTGTGAAGAGAGGCAGCTGTGAGCTCAGCTGATCTGACAGTCTCAGATGAAAAAACTTTACTTCCAGAGATGTTTCTGTTTTATATCAAAAAACATACATCATCAAAAAAACACATACCTTCCCCTCAAGGATCTTTTACCTGGTGGAGGGGGCCGGTGGAGGAGCAAGGCGTGAAGTCGCTGCCGCAGCTGTGGAGCTCCTCTGTTGCTGTTGCTGGCCAAGGCGGTCCCTCCTCATAAACACTAAGCTTATATTTTGTAATAAAAAGGATTTGATTTATTTGACCTGTTGGGTCTATGTTTGTTGTTTTATTGTTTTATGAAAGTTAATTTTAGTCTGTTCTCAGCAACAAAAGCATAATATGAGTTAGTTCTTTTAAAAGGACAGCTGTCACTCAAGACTTTTGGAGCAGGGCGTGGGGTTGGCTTCAGGCCCAGGGAACTGAATTGCCAGATCGGACTTTAACAATAATGAAATTTGGTGTTTATTTTCAAAATTCTAAAATAAAATTTTTAATTAATAACCTAGTATCACTAGGAAAAGTTTTTGTTCATAAATGTAGACCTTAAAGGTGAATCCGAATTTATGTCATTGGGAAAATTACCTGAAATATTTTTGTGAGTCGGTTAAAAGTAAATAAATCTGCTCAACAGCTTTATACTTTGATCAATAACATTAATTTGATATAAACCTCTACATTTGTTCCTTGTTATGTAAATTTTTTGGTATATTTTTTGAATGTATATAACCCAAGCAGTGAACGGGGTGGAAATTAAAAACATTTCTCCACCAGCCACTCAGACATTTTACCAGCCACTATTTGTCTTTTTTGTTCGTAACGCTTTCTTTTGGTTACAAATCCCACCAGTAGAATCAGATTATATAAATCATATGATTTATTTTTTAACTCTGTCAGAAAAACCATTCACAGTAAAGAAGTTTACCATACATATGTACTTAGTCTTATTTAACATAGCACATCATGTACACCATGTATCCTCTCTCAGTCCGTGGTGGAGGCTGGAATGGAGAGAACGAGGTACACCAAGCTGAGCATATCAGGGCACTGATGCTGTAGCATTCAAATTATCTCGGGCCAAGTTGTAGAATAGAGGGTGTCATTGGTACAAAAGTTTTTTTAAATTGTCCACTGGTCTGGGATGAGATCGGTTGTCACTCATGAGGCTTGAAGGACTTGTCAGTTCATCTACCTCTGCCTCCCCAAACTGCAGAAACACACATAAATAATCCCACAAATATTTAGTTAAACTAAACAAGTGTGTAAATTATTTTAAAATTGAAAAATATTAGGACAAATTATATACCTTCAGAGTGTTGTGCATCAGGCCAAGACTTCAGGTCCCCCAACTTGGTTGCATGAAGAACCCTGGAATTCATCAGCAAATTGGTTCTGCAGCTACTCACACAGACTGTCCAGGAGATGGACCTTTGCTTTCCTCGAGCTTAAGACCTCATTCCACTGGTGCTGGTCCATGCAGGCTGCCAGTTTGGGTCCAGGCCTGTGGTGGATTAGTACACTTAATTTATAATAGAAAATCCTGGACAACTTCACATTTTGCATTCACTGTCTGGACTTCTCACCTTATTTTGCCAGCAGTGACTGGGTGGAGGTGAGACATCCATGCACTTCAGCCAGGTGCTGCCTGTCTGCATTCCCTTCTTTTCATCTGATCTGAAGGAGAAAAACTATATAGCATCATCTGATTTTCCACATCAACTGTGATAACTTTAATTGTAACACCAAAATTAATGTACACTCTGTTTACATACACTGATAAAGCGTTGCTACTTGCCAGGACTAACACAACACGATGTGTTACTATAAGACTAAGGTAGCTAACATTATGATACATGTTTAACAGTAATCAGATTACTTACTTGCAGAGCCATTCATAGCAGTACTTCCAGCTTTTCATGCTGGGCTGTTTTCAGCTGCTCAGTGCACTCATAGCAGCAGCAGTTTTCTTCTTGAACAATGCATTTCACCTCCTTGTTGCATTTAGATGATTCCTGGTCCTTGATCTCTAATGTCTCATGTTTTGTCTTAGTCTTACTGGAGAGCTCGTGCTGCCAACAGCTGGAACAAAACATTCTTCTTCTTCTTCTTAGTTTTTCTTTGGCGGTTGGCATTCAAGATTTTGAAGCATTACCGCCATCTACTGTTTTAGTTTTCCAACTATAATGTCGCTCAAAAAAAAAAAAAAAATAAATAAAAAAATAAATAAATAAAAAAAAATAAGTAAATAAATAACTTATATCCATAAGAATAAAAAACGCTCATATTCTCTCAAACAACTGAGTCCTTTTCAGGTATTTCAACAAGATGTTGGTACTTGCAGAACTTGAATTTGCTTGGAGCAGCACTACAGGGTCAAATCTGACGTTTATTGCATTGAGTCTTTGAATCATTTGTCTTCTTTCATGATGGTAGTTTTGGCAGATCATTAGCACGTGTTGTATGGTCTCATCTTCCCCACAATGGTCACATTTTCCCGTGTTATGTTTCCCTATGATGAATAATGTCCTGTTCAATCCTGTGTGTCCAAATCTGAGTCTTGAGATGACAGTTTCTTCCCTTCTGTTTCTTTCAGCTCTTCTCATTTCTCCAACTTTTCGTTGAATTATGTAGAACCATCGACCTTTTCTTTCTTCTTCCCATTGCTTTTGCCATTTTTCCCTCATTCTCTGTTTTGTGATGCTTTTTATTTCTGCCCGACTGAATTTTACCTCTATTTCCACTGAGTTGTGTTTGGTGGCCTCCTTTGCAGCTTTATCTGCCATTTCATTTCCTCTTATCCCTATGTGAGCTGGAATCCATAAAAATGTAACCGTTAACCCCATCATACTAATTTTGAATAATGTTTGCTGTATTTCTATCAATATGTCCGGTCTGCTTTCTGAACAACTGTTTTTTATACTAATTACTGATGAACTGGAATCTGAACATATGACTGATCTGAGTGGTTGATTGTCTTCTATCCATTGAACTGCCAGTAATATTGCGACCATTTCTCCGGTGTATACTGATAATTTGTTGTTTAATCTCTTCCCTACTTTAACTCCAAACTCTGGTACAATAAATGCTGCCCCTATTTGCCCTGCTGTATTTTTTGAAGCGTCTGTATATATTTTTACATATCCATAATATTTATTGATGTGTTCGATAACTGTATTTGAAATCAATCCATTTCTATTTTGTTCTAATATTTTTAAATCAACTGTTGTGTCTGTGAATAACCATGGATGTATGTTTGGAAGTGGAACTGTTGGGCTGACGTTAAGATCATCTATTTGACTTTCTGCTGACTTTTGATTTATGGTCCATCCAAAGTTTTTTGTGTGTTTCTTTTCTTTCTCCCAGCAAGGTTTTAATATTTCTTGTGTTGGATGGTTTTGTTCGTGTCCTTTCAGATTTGCCCAGTAATTTAATGCTAATTGTTCTCTTCTGATGTTCAGTGGTGGTTCTCCCATTTCTACTAATATTGATCCTGTGTGTGTTGTTTTGAATGCCCCGGTAATAATCCTTAATGCCTGATATTGAATACTGTTTAACTTTTCTAAATTTGTTTCTGAAGCTGAACTATAAACGATACTCCCATAGTCTGTTATTGATCTGATTAATCCTGTGTATATGGTCCTTTGTGCTTTCCTGTCTGCTCCCCAGTCTTTCCCTGTCAAACACCTCATGATGTTTAGAATCTTTTTACATTTGTCAGCTACTTTTTGGATGTGCACTGTCCATGTTAGTCTCTCATCAAACCAGATGCCCAGAAATTTAAACTGTTTTTCTCTTTCAATTACTTTCCCGTACAACTTGAGTTCATTATTATTAGGTGTTTTTTTTCTTGTGAAAATTATTGATTTTGTCTTTTCTACTGAAAATTTTAATCCCCATCTATTTGACCATTTTTCAACTGTTGTTATTGCTTCCTGTACCTTTTTTATAATAAACTGTAGATTTTTGCCTCTCTTCCACAAAGCCCCATCATCTGCAAATAAAGACCTTCCCATTCCTATTTCTACACCATCAAACATGTCGTTGATCATTATAGAGAATAACAAAGGGCTAACTATGCTTCCCTGTGGTGTCCCATTTTCTATGTAGTATTTGTCAGAATAATCTTGTCCTATTCTCACCTGTATTTGTCTGTCTGATAGAAAATTTTTAATCCATTTAAACATTCGTCCTGTGATTCCCATTTTTTTCATTTTTATAAGTAGTCCCTCTCTCCACATCATGTCATACGCTTTCTCTACGTCAAAAAATACAGCTACCACACTTTCTTTATTAATCTGGGCTTTCCTGATCTCATGCTCCAGACACAAGACTGGATCCATCGTGTTTCTTCCTTTTCTAAAACCACTTTGATATTTGGACATATAACCTTTTTTTTCTACATAATATGCTATTCTTTCATTTATCATTTTCTCCATAATTTTGCAGATGTTAGATGTTAAAGCTATCGGTCTGTAGTTCTCTGGTTTGGTGTGATCTTTTCCTGGTTTTCGTATTGGGATGATTACTGCTTCTTTCCAAGACTGTGGTATTTTTCCTTCTTGCCAGACTCTATTGAATAATTCTAAAATAATATCTTTTGATGCTTCACTGAGGTGTTTAATCATTATGTAACAAATATGATCATTTCCTGGTGCTGAGAGTTTACATTTTTGAAGTGCTCCGTTTAATTCAGTTTTGGTAAATGGTTTATTTAATAAATCATTTTCTCCTTCCTCTTCTTCTAATAATTTTCTATATTCTGTTATGGTTCTCTCTCTTCCTCTTTTCCCTTCTTCACTAATATTGTTTGAACTATGGATTTTAATAAAAGCTTTTGCCATCATTTCTGCTTTATCCTTATTTTCAACTGCCGTTACTTCTCCATCACTCAAAACTGGGTACCCATACTCTTGTCTCACTCCATTCATTCTTTAAATCATCGACCAAACTTTACCTATTTCTGTTTCTCTTCCCACTGAACTACAGAATCCCCTCCCAATATTCTCGTTTTGCATTTTTTATGGTTCTTCTTACAATGCTTTGTTGTTTTTTATATTCGATAAGATTCTGAGTATTGTGATTCTTTTTTAATTTTTTAAACCCCTTATTTCTCATCTTAATTGCTTTTTCACACTCCTTTGTCCACCATGGAACAATCTTTTTGTTATTCTTTCCTCCTTTCTTCTTTATAGATTTGTTTGCTGCTTCTACAATAGATGAACAAATGGACATATTTAATTGATTAATTTCTACGTCTAAATCTATTTTCCCCATCTCTCTGTCACTCGTTCCCAAAAATGTTGCCCAATTAGCGTTAGTGAAATTCCATGTATGTGCTCCCCGTGTGTCATATTGTCGTGTTTCTAAATCCAGTTTTGTTATTATGGGATGGTGATCACTGCCTATTGTGGTGTCTTTAAGAATTTGCCATGAACTGATTCCTGCCAGTGAGTCTGAAACTAATGTGAGATCTATTGCTGATTCTGTTCCTGATGTGATATTTATTCTTGTGCTGCTTCCATCATTTAAACAAACTAGATTTTTATTATCCATAATCTCCTCAATTATTAAACCATTGTGATCATTATGAGTATCCCATAACGTACTGTGCCCATTAAAATCACCACACCAAATTACTTTCCCATCTAAATGTGAAATAATATTATCCAGAGTTTCTATTGTCAATCTTTTACCTGGGTTGTAATAATTTATGATTTTGATATTTCCATTTTTTGTCCATGTCTCAATTATTATAAACTCTAACTTTGATCCTTTTGTTAATAATCTGTGTTGAATTCCTTCTTTAATGAAAATAATACAACCCCCTCCCTTACCCTCCTCTCTATCGCGCCTTATATTGGTATATCCTTTGATTACAAAATCTAGGTTAGAGATGAGCCATGTTTCCTGGATGCATATTATATCTGGTTTGTTTGTGCTGTTTTTAATGAACGCTTTAAATTCCTGTCCGTTTGCTATTAAACTTCTGGCGTTCCACTGTAAGATGATCATACGGCTCTCTCTCCTGGTGTTCCCGTTTTCCCATCTCCCCCAAGTGTCTTGTTAATGTGTTCCCATGTTATGTCTTTTATCCCCAAAAACTTTTCTGCTCCTTTCACTATGATCTTGATTTTTTCAGTTTTGTGTTTGACTTGGTCTGTACAGTTGATAACATAAGCGATGAACAACATGATCTTTTCTACTGTAACTTCAGACTCTGATTTTGTTTGTTCTATCTGTGTTTGACTTGGTGTTACTACTTGTTGGGTTTTTACATTTTCTATTCTAACTTTCTGTACTTGCACCTTTTTTACTGCTTCTGCATAACTGATGTTGTTGATTGTTTTTACCTGTTGAATTTCCACTGCCTTCTTTCTAACCTCACATCCCCCATATGTCACCCTGTGTTGTCCTCCACAGTTACAGCACTTGTCTTGATTTTCTTCACAGTCTTCATATTTGTGGTT